CGGGCCAGCCCCTGGACACGGCACTGGCCCCCTGTGCCCCACAGAACACCCCGGCACAGCCCCATGTCCTGCAGGGCTACCCTCCCTTCTTGCAGGTAAGAGTGGTCCTCACCCCGGCTGGACATCACCATGGGGCAACCCACATCCCCCCCCAGCTCAGGCCCCTCTTTTGCTTCCCTGCTTCTTGCTGCAGAGCCCCAACAAGGAGCCCATGACGGTTTACGCCAGTGTGATGATGCCCATGGCCTGAGCCTCTCCAGGCAGTGGGCAACAGCCCCGCCTCCACCTCTGCTCGAGGGACACCAACATCACATTCCCGGCTTGATGAAACCCTCCTCATCCCTGTGGAAGTGGGGCAAAACCCGCTGGCATGCAGCCGAGCTGGGGCTGCCGTGTGGAGGAGAGGGATGGCAGAGCAAAGAGCAAGGCAAGGAATTTCCTTGGATTATGGTTAAAGGGGGGCCATAATCTGGCTGAGGGAAGACACTGAAGCACTGGCCATCCCCTGCCCACAGCAGATCCCGCATTCCCTGCAGGAATACCCAGGGGATGCTGGAGGGGGCCTGGATGAAGGACAAGGGCTGTCAAATCTTTCCAACCACCTCGGTCCAAGCTATCTTCTTATCCCAAAGTAATTCAGCTTCTAGCAGGTCTGACTAAGGGAAAGGAAAATAAATGTATGGGAAGCCTTTTGGAAAGGTTTGCTTGGACGAGTGTGTCACAGGCTGCATCAGGCTTTGGAGGGGAAGAGAAATCAGTGGTTTGCACCTCCCTGGCTTCCTCTTTGCATTACTACAGAAAATCAGCTGAGCTGCTTCCTTGGAAAAGTCTCCGAAGCAGCAACTTCACCAGGATCATGGGCAGGACCTCAGAAGGACGAGGTGACTTTGTGGCTCTCAAATGGTGTAAAAGCCTCAGGTTCTGTGCCTGGTGCTTGCTGCAGGATTTAACCTGGTGCTGCTCCTTGCAGAATGATGGAGCACCCGGTGATATGCCACCCAAACACATTCGTGGGGATATTGGGTGCTCAGTATGGGGAAGGGTTCAAGTGAAAGTGCTGATGTTGCTGTTGCAGAGGAGCATTGACCCACAATGCCACAGAAACCCCAGGTCCCTGGGGATGGTTGGAGGAGGCAAAGGGGGTTACAGGGTGACCCATTGCCCAGGGTGTCTCTCTATGCCTCTCACCTCAGTCCCCTGCCACGGCGTATCAAAACAGAGGAGCCCATCACCAGCTTCACAGCATCAGGGCAGCACTGAAAGGTGACAGTAGAACCTGCTCCCTCGCTGAGGGAGAGAAACCAGGGCTAGTTTAAAGCCCAATATCCCCAGCAAGGACCACTCTACCTAAATTTCAGTATGAGGAAGGATGGAGAGCTTGGATCTCAGCATCCCTTAGGAAGCATGACCTGGTGACATTGGTCCATGAGCACCAGCATGCTTGTGGGTGCTGACCCACTGTGGTTTCCATGATACACCTCTCAGAGCTGGTTCCTGGAGAGGAGCAGGGCTACTTGTCACACACAGTCATGATGCTGCTCTTTGTCCCAGGTGCCACACTCATCTTTGCTTGAAAATGGAGTTTTTCAGCTCAAGTTTTCATTATGCTCATGGGATTCCTTCCAGTATCTAAAGGGGCTACAAGAAACCTGGAGAGGGGCTTTGGACAAGGGATGGAGGGACAGGAAAAGAGGAATGGCTTTAACCTGCCAGAGGGGAGATTGAGATGAGCTCTGAGGCAGAAGCTCTTCCCTGTGAGGGTGCTGAGGCGCTGGCACAGGGTGCCCAGAGAAGCTGTGGCGGCCCCATCCCTGGCAGTGTTCAAGGCCAGGTTGGACACAGGGGCTGGGAGCAACCTGCTCTAGTGGAAGGTGTCCCTGCCCGTGGCAGGGGTTGGAGCTGGAGGAGCTTTAAGGTTCCTTCACACTCCAACCAGCCTGTGATTGTACGATTATCCTCTGTCCTACCCATCAGCCCAATGTCTCCATCTGACAACACTGGTGGTTCATCCAGCCATTGGATGAAGCACAGTTATCTCCACCCATCAAGCTGTGGAAGGGAAGGCTTTGTGCACAGGGACACCCTCATCTCCCTCTTGCTACCGCGAGCTGTAATAGATGCCGGGCACAGAAAGGTCCTCTCCACGCGCCGTGGGTTGACGGATGTGTTTTGGTGCCTGATGCTTGCCCTCCTCCTTTGGGAAGCAAGTAAGTGCAAGATGCTGATTTTCCCTCAGCAGTGGAAGGCAGGAGCCCACAGGGAGCTCAGGGTGGGTTTAGGCTGGGTTTAAGGGCTCCTGGGAGAGCAGGGACAGGGCTGGCATGTGTGGGACCAGCGGTGCAGGTGCAGCTCCACAGGGATGTCCTGTGGTTGGGCAAACCAGGATGCAAGATGCTCAGCACGATCCAGTGCTGGCCCCTCACTCTCATGCGGTCCCCCTGTGCAAATGAGTGGCTGCGTCAGGTCTCAGATCCAGCCCGGTCTCCATCCAGCTGCTGCCAGATGTGCCCCGGCTGCTGAGTTGGATGTTCTGCTCCGCTCGGGAGCTGTTCCCCCGTGTGTTGTTTCTGAGTTTTCCCTGCTCCTGCGGGTCTGTGGTGGGGAATTTAGGGCTGTTTGGAAGAGGAGACACTTTCTGTCTCGTTTCAGGCAAGGGGAAATGGGCAGAGATGGGTTTGCCCTGATGCCCTCCCTGCAGCCTCAGGCAGAGTTTTGCCCCTGGATGAGCCTTCCCCTGCCCTTATCTGCTACTTCAGCAGAATTTCCTTCAACTCTATCTCTCTGACCAGCTTCTCCTTCCATGTGGTCAGAGATGCCATGGGGGAACCACAAACTCAGAACCCTGGGGAGAGGTGGCATCTTTGGGGTCTGGCTGCCTAGCTGAGCCAGGATCAGTTGCTTTTTCAAGAATGGGGAAGGAAAACCTCCATCCCCAGCCCAAACCAGTAAGCACTGGCTTTTATATTGGGAATTAAATGTCTTCATCCTCCTCAGAAAGAGGGGAATCAGCTCTACATTTGGTGAAGAAGCTGCCTATTCTCGTCTGCTAATAGATCAACCCGGCCTTTAGGCTGGAGCTGAAAGGGAACCTTCCTGAGCTTTCTGAGCTGTTTCAAACTTCTTCTTGCACTTACATTTTGCGCCTGTCAAGACTCTGTCCCTTGAACCCCCTTTGTACACAGGAAGCTGCTTCTCGAGCGCTTTGGGGGATGTGAAAGCACAAGTCCTCACATGGGACCTCAGCCCAGATCCTCAAATAGATTATTTAAAATAAAAAGGAATCCCCTAATTCCTGCAATCACTCAGCAATGGAGAGATTCCTCAGTGCTCCCCACTTCCAGCATCAGTGATGCAGTGTTCATCCTTATCCCAGGGAATGCTCCAGAGGGCTCAGGTGAGCTCGCAACGTGTTTGCAGCCTAGAAAACCTCTCGTCTGCTGGGCTGCATGAAGAGAAGAATGACCAGCAGGTTGAGGGAGGGGATTCTCCCCCTCTACTGCCTCTGCTGAGGCCACTTCTTGCATCACACAAGGGAATCTGGGGACATGCGCCCCCCACAGCCACTGGGACAGGGTGCAGCATCCCAGGGTGCACCCCAGGGCCAGGGTAGGAGCATCCCCTCTAGAAATGCCCATTAGAGCTGAAAATGTGGTGCTGCTGCTGTCACACGTGGTGGTTCTGTGGACCCAAAAGCGTGAGCAACAGCTCAGGGAGGGGATCCTGCTCCTCTGCTGCGCTCTGGGGGGAAGCCCCTGCAGCCCTGGTCCAGCTCTGGGGAACAGCACAAGAGGGACGTGGAGCTGCTGGAGAGGGGCCAGAGGAGGACCTGGAGCTGCTGCGGGGGCTGGAGCCGCTCTGCCTTGGAGCCAGGCTGAGGGAGC